GTCAGGGTCCCCCCCCCAAGGCAGCAGCCAGGCCGGGCTTTAGGGTACAGCCGGACTAGCCTGTCGGCCTCGCTCTGCGCCAGGGCTGGGAGAGCCCCCTAGTGGCGACACCGGGCAGCCTGCAGGAACCAGTGACTGGCTGGGTCCAGCTGCCCAGATGATTCGATGCTGCCCAGCCTGCCCCCATCCCTCCCGAGGGGCTGACCCACAGCCCCAGGGCCATGGGAAGCTGAGGGGGCTCTAGGGTCACCACCACCCAAGGGGGAATCCCTGGCACCGATCCCTGCAGGACGGGGGCGCCAGAAAGTAGGAGGAGCCGGGGCTGTTCCCTGGAGCAGAGAGCAGAGCGCCCCCACCTGGCGGGAGGGAGCCCCTGCCCAGAAGGGAGCTGCTTTTAGACCAGACGGACGCGCTTGTGGTTAAGGTGCTGCAGCTCAGGACTCCTGGGTTCTACCAGCTCTGGGAGGGGAGCAGGGTCTAGGGGTCAGAGCAGGGGGGCTGGGGGTCAGGACTCCTGGCTTCAGTTCCCAGCTCTGATGTCACCTCCCTGTGTCTCCTTGAGTGAGGCATTTAACCCCTCTCTGCCTCTGGGAAATGGGGATGGGGGCTGTTCCCTGCCCTGCTATGCAATGGCTTGAGCCCCCTGCCCCTGCTGCCTGGCCAGGTGGGCAGACATGTCAGTCGCTGCTACCTGGGGAGTCTCCCTGTGCTCTTGGGGGTGGGGGGCTGCTTGTGCCCCTGATCAGATCCAGGGCCCCGCCCGCCAGTGGGGAATGGCTTTACTCCGGAGTGACTCCTGCTCCGCTGGGGACGATTGAGGGGAAGAGCAGAACCAGACCAGCCCCGAGGCCCCAGCGAGGGCCGCACCTACCTCCAGCTCGTAGAAGGCCATGAGCACGGCGAAGCTGGAGAGGTGGTTGCACTGGCAGCGGGTGATGGTGGTGTTCAACTTCTGCAGGGTGCAGCCGTGGGTGGCCCAGTGCCTGCTGCTGTGCTCCCAGTAGGCGCAGAGGAGGCGCAGGTCAGTCTTGGACTCCTGGGGACAGAGAGACGCTTGATGCATGGGGGGCAGGAGGGGGTTGGGGGGCTGGCTGGGGCCGCTCTCCCCAGGCCCTGAGAGGGCAGGTCGGGGGGTATGAGGGGCTGGGATGGGCTGGGGGCACAGAGCATCAGTTTGTCCCTGGGTGGGAGGTGGATTCACCTGCTGCCCGGCGTGGGGGCTATCACTAGAGATGGGCCCAGCTCTGCCCTCCAGCGCCCCAGGCTCTCCTCCCCCCATGCCCAGCCCAGGGGCTCACCGGCACCGGGTGGCTGAAGTGGATGCTGACGGAGAGGCCGAGTGCCTGGGGGTTCAGGTCACTGATGAAGGCCGACACCACCGGAGACAGCACACGGTAGCTGGGCTGCCCGGGCTCCTGCGACCACTTCCCCGTCTGGCCGATCTTGTCCCACTCGGGCGCCTCCACCCGCCCAGCACCATCCAGGATGGGGCTCATCCCCTGGTATGTCAGCAGCCCGGCCAGCGTGAAGCCTGCGAGAGACAGAGGAGACGGATGAAATTGGGGGCAGGAGGGGCCCAGGGGCAGACTGGTGCCAGGGGGTGTTGTGCAGCTGGCCGTGCTGCCCCCAATGCCCTGGCCGTGCCCATCGCTATACACACCCCAGCACAGGTGATGATCACATACCTTCATTTTTCTGCCCTGAGGCTCCGACCCAGTTTAATTCCATCTGCGTCTTGCTCTGCTGCAGCGTCACGGTCTCCTGGCTCTGGTTCCCAGGCTGCCTGACCGCCAGCCCCAGCTCTGCAACCACAATGCCGGCCAGGGCTCACAACAGAGACATGGAGAGGAAGCCTGTAGCTAGGCAAGGTACTTTCCTGGCTGTGGGGGGAGCTCCCAGCTACTCCAGTCCCAGCCTCTCCCAGCAGGGGGCACTGTGGGGAGTGGGGCGGGAGAACTGGCTGTGGGGGGGGGAGCTCCCAGCAGGGGGCGCTGTGGGTAGTGGGGCGGGAGAACTGGCTGTGGGGGGGGGAGCTCCCGTCTGGGGGCGCTGTGGGTAGTGGGGCGGGAGAACTGGCTGTGGGG